AAGGTCAAGATACAATGTAAGTAAGCTCAACTATGATTTGTATAGAATCAACATTATAAGCGATCCATCATGTTTTTGTGGATGTCTTTGTGAAAATGTATACATGTCTTATTTTATATGGCACTGCAGACCTATCAACTGAAGAACATCTGAATATCTTCAAACATGTCCATCATTACAACAATCAAACTAAACGATTCCTCTGTTCATCTAAAACTGTTATATTCTCAAACTCAAGATCCCTCATGTATAGTATGACCAGAAATTATTGAGAATTTTAGGAATATGTTTAATTGGATTTCTAGTATAAACACCCTTTACCAGCTATCAAGTGCTTGGTTTCATTCAAGAGAGACAACTCCGTTAATCCTTTTTCATTAGTTTGTGAAGAGTTATCCCCCTTTGTTTACTTGCTAGCAGACGACAGTTTCAGTGATCCTCAGTATGGATGATTTAGAGAAGTGGAAGTTGATTTTAGAGTATTATAACAAGGACATCAGATCAGCTAAAGTGATTTCAAGTAGAATAGGCATCCCTTTGTCCACTGTTTATCGTGTTTTGAAATATATTGCAAATGGATATGGCATTGAGCACCAGGGAGGCGCAGGTAGGCCTAGAAAATTGACTGTCGGTGACAGGAGGCGGCTTGGTATTCTTGTTTCTAAAAACAAACGAAGGAGTTTAGAAAACTTAAGGCTGGATATGATTGATAGAGGAACTGTGGCTGTCTGTAAGGAGACAGTTAGAACTGAGCTGCATGCAATGGGTTGGCAGAAAAGTCGAGGAATTACATCACCGATTATGAAACCTGAACGAAAGGAGCGAAGGTTGAACTGGTGCTTACAGCATGGACATTTTAACTGGGATAATGTGATTTTCTCAGATGAAAGTTCTGTGTGGCTGTTTCCTAATACACTGAAATTCTGGACCAAACAAACTGAAAAACCTTTGTATCAGCGCCCAAAGTACAGTCCGAAACTTAACGTGTGGGGTGGCATATCTGTGTTAGGGGCAACGCTCCTCTGTGTATTTGAAGGGAATATGAACAGTGAGCGGTACACAGATATTCTCGAGGGACATTTACATTTCCATCTGCTCACGTGTTCTATGGAAATTTTTGTATTTTCCAGCAGGACAACGACCCAAAACATCGTTCAAAGCATTCACAGGCCTGGTTTCGGACCCAAAATATGACATTATTAGATTGGCCAAGCTATAGCCCTGACCTAAATCCAATAGAAACTGTTTGGGGACTTATGAAGGAAAGTGTCAATAAGAAAAATCTGACAAATATTGCTGAAATGAAAGAAGAGGTGGTCCGATATTGGGACATCATGGACCACGACTTTCTAACTTCTTTGATCAGTAGTATGCCCCGCCGCATTGAAGCCTGTATTGCTGCCCATGGTGACTTGACAAAATACTAACTGTTCACCTGTCTTTGAATCTAGAGTTATGTTCTGCTAATATTCACATTAATACGTGAGTAATGAGTGAAAAAAATATAAAAAATTACAATCTTTAAATTCTCAATAATTTCTGGTTGTACTGTATATCTTCTCTGTTTTGTGCATATTTGATTTATATCATATAAATATAATTGTTGTAAATATCGGGAGAGGGCTTCATTAAGTTTGATAACTTTTGCCCAATCCTTTTCTTCAATGATGTTCACATCATATAGCTGGACTTTTGCTAAAACGCACTACTTCTCTCTTGAACACGGAAGTATCTTTACTTCTGCTGAGTCGTGTAAAGTTGAATAGCGTGTAATGAGAGTGCATTTTCCCCTACAACATAACAAAAACAGCATTTCCTTCCATACTACCATTTATAAATATTAAAGAAAATATAGCAATATTCAAATGTTTGTTAAAAGTTCGATCGAAAATTTGCAAGGGACCGTTCATAATGTACAGCTGGGCTGGGATCGAGTGATGATAATTTTTATGGAGAAGCACGTACAATGTGAATAACAGTCCCACCCCACCCCTCTTCCTTCATGAAAACACACCAAGTGCATGTACACAAAATTTATGACACCCCCCCCCCTCTCAGTTATGTATCATTGTCTCAAAGAGTTTGACAGAGGAAGGGATTGTTATGTGTCACCCACATTCTAGATGATTGTTGATCAATCTGTCAAGTCATAATTGCACTTTACTTTAATCAATCAGTACATTCATAAACTGTAGAATAAAAAAAATATTATACATCTTCGTCATGACAGAGCCTGTTTTGTTACCACTATGCACACAGGGTGAGTGTGTAACTTTAGAAAATTTGAGAGAGTGTGAATTCTACTCTTTTAGGTGGGGTGGGGGTAGCCTAGTGGTTAAAGTGTTTAAAGTCCATTTCTGGTGTCTTCCGCCATAATATTGGAATATTGCTAAAAGTGGTGTAAACCCATACTCAGTCTTTTAGCAGGGTGGAGGGTTGTCTGCAGGTCTTCCCTGTTGGAACTGAATTTGGTGTTTGGTAATCAATTCTTGGGTTATGTGCCATGTTCTTTATCAATAAGGCCAGACCAATGTATTTCTTGTTTTACATATTTTTGTCCTCAGAAGAATTTCTTGTAAGTTTACATTTTTGACCAATAAAAACATTAGGATTTTATTTTTTGAGCGGGAAAATTCACTTTTATTTCTTTTCGTATTCTTGAAAAAATACAACTGGAGGATACGTAAAACAAGAAATAGAATTGGTCTGGTCTAAACTTGAAATATAGGTGTGCTTATACAGTATGCATGAGAAGCAATGTATACAGGACACCTTTAGCACAGTTTACTAAAGGTAAAAGATGCAAATGTGTTATGTGATTTTTAAGATATCAGAAGTTTAAACATTTGGGACATCTTTGAAATAGTGTGAAATGAGAGATAGTTGGTTATGATGCCTCTATCAGTATCATACCAGTCACATCCCAATCAAGGGCATCAACTTTATATATTTGCATTGGGGTAGGGAGTCAAACCAATGCCTGTGGCATCACATAAGTTTATGCAGCTGAACATAGACAAGCATGTGCAAGGTGAACATGTCACAGTGGACTTTTTCTGTCCAAGTATAGACATCCATCAAATCCTGCATGGTGTTAGTTGTTTGTGTATTCAGAAATGTTGTAGAGCATCAGCTGACCAGATAAAAACTGACCATTGTCAGATTTCCCCATAAAATGACAAAAAGAAATGAGTTTTGTTAAAGATGTTTTATTACTAAAATACAGAGCAGCCTGTCTTGAAATGGGACAGGCTAGAAGAATACTATGAAATGTAATTATATGTAGTACCGAACTCATTAAGTTGGTTCACACATATATCTTTATGTCTGTTGAAAAGACTCTTACAAACAATTGAAGTAATGCCATTAGCTCACCAACGTGAAATGTGTAAATACGTGGAGGTTACATGTATATGGCATTGAACATTACACCCATCATATTTGTGAAAATATAAACTAGTAAACAAACCAAGGTAGCTATTTGAAAATACTTTCATAAACAGAAGCATCCCCTACACCCCATTCCTTAAAGTATTTTCAAGTGTTACAAGAATAATTTAAAACCATACAACTGATTAAAATCCAACAATAACCAAGTCTATGATATAAATACAAGTATTACAGTCACATTTCACGATCATCTCGGGGGAGGGTCGGGTGTGGGGTGTGTGGTGGTTTAGCCTATAGCTAGTGGTTAAAATGTTCGCTCATCACCCAGAAGACCCTGTTTTGATTCCCCACATGGGTACAGCCCATTTCTGGTGTCCCCTGTCGTGATATTGCTGGAATATTGCTAAAAGTGGTGTAAAACCATACTCACTCACAATCACCTCAAATGTCACCTTGAATGTTGACATAGCACTAACATTAAACATGGCAGTAATTATAACCAGACATGAAAATAAGGAATACCTTGCATCATATATGAGTAATAATAAGTGAAACATGTTTTACAGCTACATGAACACTGACATCAACTTTAATGATCATGACCAAAACCTTCAAAGAACAGGGTATCCATTTGAAAGAAGAAGGCACATGTCATGTTTAATTATGCATGTGTGAATTCCTTCTTAGAACCTGTGTTGTCTTGTGACATGAACATTTTACCAAAACAATTCCCCGGACTAATGAAGAATAATCTCATTAATCTTTGTGTTGTAGTCATTACGGAAACAACACTGTTTCACTGGGCTGCACATCTTGTTTATAAATTATTACCTTTATAAAATGATTTGGTATGAACTCATGATAGGTAACTACATTTCACAAAATGTCCTCCAGAAACAAAATATGGCAAAATCTGGAGCAACAAAAACTGACAAAGCTGAATATTTCAAGATGGGGTAATTTTCGTTTTTCTAAGACTAACAGCATACACATTAAATATTTAGATGTAACATCACATGTCAGACATTATTCACATATCATGAATTACACATATAAAACTTTCTTCGTTCTGGCAAAGGGCAACAGTTTTACATGCCTTCCATGGCAGACATGCAGAGACTTAGTTGCCAGTATGTGCAGCCTTAATTAAGTACTAACTATCACAAAAAGTAATATAACAGCCAGTATCATGAAATACAAGAAATATGGCATAACTTTACTATTCCATTGTTTACTACATGCCACATATACTAATATCAAACCATCAAACTATATCAAATCATACTTATAAATCACATTGTCATGCAGTGTAAAAAAATGTCACTGAAAAGGTGGTCCAATTGTTCAGCAGGACAATAAGCACAAATGGGGAACAGAAAAGCACAAAATGTTTGTGTGGGAAAATTAATGGAAACTTCTGTTCTGCTGGCAAAATAAATAAAAATTCTTGCTGAGACTATTTTACTGCTTCAAAACAGAAGTTCCTTAATTTGTCTCCATTATGGAGGTGTTACTCAGCTGACATCAGAATGCCAGAACAATTATCAAAATACATCAAACAAATCAGTAAACTGCATAATGAATGCACTTGAATCATTCCTGTAGTCATCACTTGTCATCTACAGTGATGGGGACACCTCTTCCTGGTACTTGGTCAGCATCATATTCTGTTGATTTGCATTCCGGTTAACCTCTCGAGGTAATATGTGGCTGCTCTGAAGTACAAAAAGATAGAAGTGTTTTTATTTATATTGAACAATTTTTTATGGATAACAACTTCTTTTATTTTATAAGTGTGACGTTTTGATAAGATTCTTGTACCATTGTGAACGAATGCTTGGACAAGGTGAACTACCATACATGTATATCATGTACCTGCATCACAATATTTGGTCATATTTGGGAAACTGTGTTATACATCAACCGAGATACATTAACTCAGTTAATGTTTTATGCTTGTTAAAAATAGCAACAGTCAGTTTCAATGAGATAATAATAGCATTAGCAAGCTAATTTTCTTTTGGCAGTACAAACTTAAGTCCAACAAAAATCACAAGGGGAGGGGAGAGGAGTTTGAAGATTTTTATGGAGAAGCATGTACAATCTGAGTAACTTAAAATTTATGTACAAAGGAAGTGACCCCTCCCATGTACAAATACAATTATGCCCCCTCCCTCCCTCGCCTTCACATTAATTTGTATGTTTATAATTTAAATATATAATTATGTACAAAATTGCTGCCCTACCCGGTACATGTGTACAAAATTCACGACTACCCCTACCTCCCAGAAGAAAACGGGTGACCCCTCCTTAAAATCATCACCACCCCCACCCTCAAAAGAGTGAAATTAATCAATCAATCAATCAATCAATCAATCAATCAATAAATAAATAAATAAATAAATAAATAAATAAATAAATAAATAAATAAATAAATAAATAAATAAATAAATAAATAAATAAATAAACAAACATCTGTGCATAAAACAAGCACCACCCTCTATTTCTACCAATTAATTTTGTCTGAAATAAAATTCTCAACTCTTTCCAAAAAATAACCTTTATGATTTGATAGAGCAAGCATTTAACATTTCAAAAACGAAAACATCATTGAATTTTGATTAGGATAATTGCCCATATTAAAAACAGGTGTTTTGAAAAGTGAAAGTAATAATTGATTGTTGTGTGGCCTATACATTCGTTATTTATTGTGAATGGATGAAAGTTTGTAAACTAAGATTTAGGAAAAGTTACAGTCAAACTGAAAAAAAGGCAAATTTTAAAATGCATTAAAAGTTGCTTTACAAACAAAACAAACAGATTTTAGCTGTAATTATCAGTATCCGACAAGGGGAAGTGTTCATTCATTACAATAAACTCAAAATCATAAAACATTTATTCCAAAATCTTATTAATGTGGCCTTTTTCAGTTTTGTCAATTACCAATCTGAATTGTTGGAAAAATGTCTGAATCTTTGACATTCAGGGTCTTCCTGATTATGCGTAATTAAAGCTTACTTGATGTGTAAATGTCATCTTGGTATATAACAGAATTGTTATTCTTAGTCAAAACGTAATTCAATTGTGTAGTTTGAGCAGGAGAGGAATAATTATTTTGGGTAAAATTTCAGTCCAATCACATTTTAATCAACATATTCTTTCATAAAGAATAGAAAAGGTTATGGTATCTGTAAATCTGTCAGTGGATAAAGCTTTTTTAACTACAGGTTGATTAAATTGATGGCTATACCCTAACTTTTCTGAAGCATCACATCTTATTTTCAAAATAGGGTGGTGCCTAATTAATGCACAGGGGTATAAATAAATAGATAGATAGATAAAAAATAAAATAAAATAAATTAAAAAAACCAATGTAACAAAAGCCATAAATAATGAACGTTCCCTTAAACGGACATTACATATCCACTTTTTTCTATTCTGCACCAAGATGTAACATGTTGCATCATTACACTGTTACAAAACAAAACATTCATGTTTCTTTTACAAATGTTTCAAGACTGATCTCATTTTGGTGGTTTTGAGGCAGTGCAATAGATATGCAGTTAGCTGCCCTTCTTGTTCAAAATTTCAAGATCACAAAATGAGGCCTATAGCTCCAGTTCTTTTACAGTTTGTACCTTCTAGTATCCCCCCACATACACATTTTCATGAGTATCACAAATATTCTTCAATGTATGTACAAATGTAGCATTTATCAACTGAGACAATAAACCATTTCAGAAAAATGAATGACGTGAGAAAATGCCATACCTGAAGCCAAATGAGAAACTGACACAACCTCATACCAAATTATGATTCATCTTGAGTTTATTAGTCCCATATACTATACCCATCAGCTAATACCTTTCTTGGTGTCATCACATCTACTCTTGTTTGGAGTCTGTTCTCCCCTTCCTGAAAAGTAAAATTATTTATCACCAAGTGCAAACATGTTCCTTTAGCATAAAGGAATGCTTACCATTATAATATTTCTTAAAAGTGTCTCAAATTGTAATAACCTTTTTGTCATGGGTTTCTCCTTCTTTTGCATCTGGCAATGAGTCTGTTAGGACAATACATGTGAAAAAATATGATATTTTACCTACTTTGGTACAAATCCAGGCATCAGCAATGTTTTCATTTCAGGGTACATATAAGAGTGAGTAGGTGAGTTAAGTTTTACGCCACACTCAGCACTATTCCAGCTATATGGCAGCAGTCTCTGAATAATCGAGTCTGTACAAGACAACACAGTGATCAACAGCATGAGCATCGATCTACCCAATTGGGATAAGATGACGTGTCAACCAAGTCAGCAAACCTGACCACCTGATCCTGTTAGTCGCCTCTTACGACAAGCATGGGTTACTGAAGATCAACTCTAACCCGTATCTTCATGGGTTCATATAAGAGTGGATCATTGTAAATGGTTAAAAATGTACTGTTTCTTTGTTGGCTCTAGAAATTGCTAAATATCAACAAATGCTTCATCACACACTCTAAACGAATTACCTCTTGCATTTAGGCACTATATACCATCCATACCTGTGCTGACCATGAACTTGTTTAAACAGTGATGATTTTATTTACCACTAAGTTACCATCAATAAATGTTCATCCAGAGACATAAAAATCAGTCAAGTGCAATTTTTTGTTATTAGAAATTTACCTATGACCCTGTCATAATTTTGTGGGTTTGTGTGTGTGTGTGTGTGTGTGTGTGTGTGTGTGTGTGTGTGTGTGTGTGTGTGTGTGTGTGTGTGTGTGTGTGTGTGTGTGTGTGTGTGTGTGTGTTATTCCTATTTGAAATCGATGGCAATAACACATTCTTTAAATAAAACAACTATTTGACACAATCCAGCTTGATCATATAACCTTGGGAACATTGATAAGAAAGGTTACTGTCATAAAAACATTAGCCCTCTCAAAAGTAGTACATATTTTAAGCTCATTGCCTAATCCTCCAGATGGCTTTAGCAAGTTTCTTGAAAAGATATTTTTCAAATTCATTTGGAATGGTAATAATGATAAAATAAAAAGAATCACAATGAAAAGATTAAAGGCTGAAGGGGGACTGGGTATGGTTGATATAAAAACATTTATTGAAGCTCTAAAATTATCCACTCTTAGACAATAATTACTGTAAAAATCATCCGACAATAATCCTTTTAATATACCTTATAATGATATCTTCAAGTATGGAGCAAATATTCACAAAATACTTAACATTGAAAACCCTTATTGGAAAGATGTTTAAAAGCATGGAACAATTATTGCAAAAAGGTTAATGCTGATTCTGACAATACTGATCACATTCTTGCACAACCATTATGGCTCAATCATAATCATAAAAACACTTATATTAGACACTGGGCGGATAAGGGTTTATTGACAGTAAAAGATGTATGTGATGAGCATGGATTTATGCCTTTTGATAAGTTAAAGATACAATACAAAATAAGAGGGACACAATTAGACTATAACTATCTACTTCAAATCTGACCTGATATTTGGAAAAATGTTATTAAAAATACAGTTATCATTCCTTCCTACAATTCATACATCAATGTTTACCAAAGAATTGAAAATTTTATAATAAATTGTATATTTATATACTTATCCTATCTCACGGTATGCACCATCTCTCTCTTCTACGACCATGTGTGGAAACGTGCTGTCAGCTAAGTTGAGTCAAATCTAACTGGCCTCTGACCCACCCTGACCTCTGCCTGCACCCCGACATCAATGCCTGTCAATCATCCATCAAAGCGTGCGGCGCGCCTAAACGATCACATGACCAAATCTACTTGTCATTCTCGTTCTGGAGCTTCCAGTAATCTGTGATGTGGGGCAGGTCGGTCGGGTCCTAGCGTGAGATAGGACATGTATATAAATATACAATTTATATTATAAAATTTTCAAATTTTTAAACTTATCCTATCTCACGGTATGCATAATCCCACGGTTGGTAGGCGGGTTGCAGATTACCCGGTTACTACTACCACCGGGAAAACGCATAACTCAAGGATGCCAGGAGAAAGCACCAACTGATATGCAAACTCCGAACTTGAGATGTTTTGTTGTTGTTTTTGTGTGTTTTTCAGGTAACCCCTTGGCTTACACAGCACAAAAACTCTAAGGAGTGGGCGCTCGAAGTTAATGTGGTTTTCAGCCGCAACTTTTGACAAGCAAAACGATGCAGTTTGGCAAGTAGGCCCCGCCACCCCCTGATATTTATCAGGTGACCCCAGTGAATTAAAGTCCAGGACCTTAATCTGGACAGTCCCTGCTTCGAAACTATCCCCCACAGACACACGCTGGAAGGCGGTGAAAGAAGGAATAGCCCGGTTGCTCAACTAGTTTAACGTTCAGTACCAATCTCCCTAACTTACCAAAGGTGAGAAAGGACTTAGGAGCAGAACGCTTTGAAAACCATACAGGTAATCGGGATCAACACTTCACTGAAGTGATTGCTCAAAGAGTAGAGGTCAGTAAGCGGAATGTCGACCTTCTCTACATGTAGTACAGGACTTGCCTCATAGTCTTCTCGCCATGGTGTGACGTCCTAGTTCTCTAGGTGAGAAGGGTCTAGACCCAGGTCAAAAAGTACCAAGATAAGGATAACATCGATATCTTTTATTATGTACAGAGCAGAACCGACCAAAGAAGGATTGCTTTATCTGCGAGCACGGGCCGAAGACAGTTGCTGTGCCAGAACCAAGGGGCCGAATTGATGTAGTCCTTCCACATCTGTCAGTGAGAGGTCCCGTAGGTAGTGTGAGGAGAACACAGTATCCGATCTCCAAAAACAGCCCTCCATGATGGACTGAAGGGAACAGTTCCTGTGAAGAGCCATGGTTGACGCAAGAGCTCAGGTCTCATGAGGCTTGGCCATTGCTGGCGGAGGTAGGTTAGCAAAGGTATGGGCACGCAGGATCGTAGTTCTCATCCAAAAAGCCAAGGTAGTACGGGAGACTTCAAGAAGTCGAGGCCCGTCAGATATAGGGATGAACAGTCTCTTCACGTGGTCTTCGGCGATCCTGCGAGGCAGCTAGATAAATCCTCAATGCTCGAACTGGGCATAAGGAAAGATCTTCCGTGTCTTCTGGTCCCAAGATGGTAGACAATGGTGGGATCGTAAAGATGCGATCCAGTTGTCCTGGTAACTGATTCTTGGCCAGGAAATCCCACCGCAGACCAAGGAAACCTTTCGCATGTCTAGTCTTTTCAAATCATACTCGAGACACATCCAGAGCATGCAACTCAGAGATACGGGCCGCTGTAGCCAAGGCCAAGAGAAAGAAGGTCTTGAAGGAGATATGTTCAAAGTCTTTATCCTTCAAAGGTTCATATTCAGCCAAACTGAGATGAGCAAGTACAACAGAGAGATCCCAAGCTGGAGGCCGAGACTGTAGCAATAACTGTGTTAAGAGCAGCCAGATAGGTAGATAAAGTTGATCCTTTAAGTTTCCTGGAGGTCCGGAGATGTTGAAGATATTCTGCCACCATCTGCGGGGATGCCGTAGTAGGAGACAAGATGCCCTTCTTCCTGCAATAAGCTTCAAAACTTTTCCACTTGTCATCGTAGAGTGACCTGGTAGAAGAACGATGAGCTGTAGTGATGGCAGTGGCAACACGTAAAGAATAATCCTTAGCCATTAATGATTGATGTAGATGCGTCAGCGGAGACCAATGGAGTTGATCGGAGTGTGGATGAACCAATAGATCGGGTCGATTGGGGAGCGGCACGGGATCTGGTTCGGCTAAGTCTTGAAGATTTACGAACCAACTTCTGGCCTGCCAGTAGGGCGCAACCAAAAGCAGAGTTATCCTTCGAGTTGCACGCAATTTCACCAGAATGCGAGGAAGAAGGGCCACTGGCGGAAACGCGTAAGCTTTCAGATCTTCCCACGGAATGGCCAGAGCATCCAGGTCCCAAGCTAGAAGGTCCGGTATTGGTGACACAAACTGAGGTAGCTGATGATTGAACCTCGTGGCGAAGAGATCTACTGTTGGAAACGTCATTGGAAGGCAAAGAGTCTGAATTACCTGGGGATGTAATTTCCATTCCGTTGGAGAGGGACGACTCGGTCGAGACAGAGCATCTGCGATGACATTCTTCACCCCCGGTATGTGGTTGGCCCGCACCAAGATTTTGAGAGAATCCACCAGGTTGAAGAATCGTTGTGTCCACTGTAGAAGCCGTGGAGACCCTGTTGACCCCATTCTGTTGATATGCCACACCACCGCTGCGTTGTCCGATCTGACCATGACAGAGGTTGATTGTAGAACATCCTGCCAGTTACTGATTGCTAGAATCACTGCCCTGAACTCCAGAATATTGATGTGAGAAGCGTGATCTTCGGAAGACCACAGCTCTGCCACTTGTAGATTGAGAAGGTGAGCTCCCCACCCGTGTTCCGACGCATCCACATACAGGTGGTGAGATGGAACAAACGGCTCTAAACAGACTCCGTTGCAGACATTCAATTCTATCATCCACCACTGTAGATAAGGACGAAGCTCCAGAGGTAGAGTGATCAAAGCACCGGGATTCCCCACTCTGATGTAAGGTGCTAGAAATAGCTGTAACGGACGAAGTTGTAGTTGACCCTGAGGGTCAACGCCTGAGCCGACGTCAAGAGGCCTAGGAGTTCCTGCCATTGACGGAGCGTCCTGGCTTGCGCTAGAGCTAGGGAGACCAACCGCTGTATCTGCAGAAACGATCCCTCGGGACAAACATTCTGTTGACCTGTGTGTCGAAAACAGCTCCGATGAATTGAAGTCGGCGCGTTGGGACTAGTTCCGATTTCTGCAGATTGATTAACCATCCTAATTGGCGATAAGCTGTATCGCAAACTGCATGTGACGAACCAGAAGGGCATGATCGTTCTGTGCCTGAATGCAGTCGTCGATGTAGGCTTTGAACACTGTCCTCTTGCGATGAAGAAAACTGGTGATAGGCTTCGTTACCCGTGTAAACAGCCACGGGGCCGCAGAAAGTCCAAACCGGAGAACACGCCATTGATAGTGGATGTCCTCGAAGATGAACCGAAGGAATTTGCGATGCGCCGGGAATATCGGGATGTGGAGGTAGGCATCCTGAAGATCCAAACTGACCATGTAGTCTCCCGGCTTGATAATTGTCTTGAGGAGTGCCACCGATATCATGCGAAAATGAGGCGGGGGCTGCAGAAATTTCTCGTTGAAAGTCTTCATGTTGAAGATTAATCTCAGTTTGTCCGAATCCTTCTTGGGCACCAGAAAGATTGGAGAATAGAACCCTGGATTGGTCAGGGCCGGACCCAGGGATTCGATCATCGCAAGTTTCTTGAGTAAAGTGTCTATCGTTGATCGCAGAACAGCCGATTGTTGTTTGGGATACGTTCTGCGATCCGGAAGTATTGTGAGCGGAGGTTTCCCGATGACTGGTAACTGGAATCCCTTGGTTAACATGGACAGGACATAAGGGTCTCCCAAAATTGTCCAATTGGGAGCATAGGTACCAAGTCGGCCTCCTACTGGGGAAATCTGAATGGGTACGACTGGAGGTGGAAGTTCCCAGTCGCCTTTCAATGTCAACAAGTCATTGCCTATCACGTCTCTGTGAGGTGGGCTGGTCGGTAGTGGAAGTTGATCGTGGAGCAGTGGCAGTTCTTCGATGTCAACTCGGTCGTCCTCTTCCGTAGGAACCCCTCCCACGAAAAGAAGCCGTAGAACCCGAAAGCGAAGGTCCGGATTAGTAGGGACATAGTGAGCTGGTCGTCACTGTCTCATTGATTGCTCCACTTGTAGTCGCTGGAACCTCAACAATTCGACCGAGACTTGTAGATGGGCATCCTTCCCTACTCTTTCGGCTACTTCCCTAATCGCCCCGTTGAACAGAGAATTTCCCTAACCTGTTTCAGGTCCGTTCTGAATCTGTCTTCCCAGGATGATAATTGTAACAGTCCTCTACGCCTCATAGCCGTGACATAGGAGAAGAAATGAGCCAAGAGATCTAGGATGGTTTGGAATTGTTCCTGCAATAACACCATAGCCGCTCGGATGTATGCTTGCTAATGAGTTGTAGCATGTGTGACAGACATGGCCACCGCTTCAGTAGTTGTCAACATTAAGTTCAATGGAGCCATAATCTTCCTTATGGACGCATCTAAATGTATCAGTTCACGGTCTTCGACCAGAAAGGGCGAATAATCTCTCTGTTTCGTCCCCAACAGCGTGATATCCTCATCTACTGGAGGAGAGGCAATCATAGATGACAATCCATGTACATGAGCCGATGCCAAGTTGAAGTGAGGCGCAGCAAAACCATCTTTAATCTTCCTCAAACTAGCAAAAGCCTCATCCTGGGACGCAGTCAGCTGAGTGATGCACGGTCGGGGAGGGAACATGATAGAACCAAAGTCTCCAGTCTTCATATCAAAACTGGATAAAATGTCATCCTTCGAAGTACTACGCTGTAACTTGAGGTTATCAGCAATCCAGATAAGTAGCTGAGGTGAGTCAACAGCATCCACACTCACATCCGAAGGAGACATACTTCCTGAAGACATAGACGGCGTTGTTGAACGTAGAATCTCTTGCACAGGCACCGCTGGCGTAGTCGAAATCCCTGATGACTGAGTAACAGGAGATGACACTGGCTCCTGATGCTGTAGCTGATGCTACCGCCAACACAAAAGCATCAAAGTCCATAGGTTGAGATGTTGCCCCCTCAGACACTGGATTCCAGGAAACCGGCAAAACAGATCTCGCCGTCGAAACTGTAGCAAAAGGAACTGATGAAATTGTAGCAGCCCCAGAGGGAAGATGAGGTATGTCACGCAGCGAGGATGAACATACAGCTGATTGAGTCATGCCCACATGAGATGATGGCACTTGTGTGGTAAACGCTGAAACCTGAGGAAGTGTTGAACCATGAACCACTCCAGTAGCTTGAGACCGTACAGCACCAGGAACACCATAAGTAAGCGTTGAGCCAGGTGGCCCATGAGTGAAACTCGCAATAGGAATCCCTGGAGTGATCCAATAACGCTATGATCTCGAAATCAATTAATAACTATTTACCATGAAAAATAAACATTACAAAATATTTGATTTGGTTTGGTACATTACATAATGATGTATTACTAAATCAAATCATCTCTGCCAAAAAACATATCAATTTATGTAAATTTAAAAAATCAATTCCAAAATTCATTAAATATAAAATGGCATCAAAAGAGATATTTTCTGTTCAAAACTTTATTTTCAAGGGAAACAATGAAATTGATAAATTCAGTTTTAAGTCTTAAATGGAATTCACTCATGCCAATATTCAGCAACAAATTATAATTACATCTTTACACCTTTTCTGTGTTTGTTGTTACTGTATACCTTTGACCATGGGAACAAATAAAAAAAATACATAAAAAAACATGGGAATGTTAAGATACAATATAAATACACTTTTCAAATTGATTTTAAATCATAGCTTTTGTGCAAAGAGTAACAAGTGGGCACAGAAATCTACATCCTTTTCCCTTTCAATGGTGCATAAAATCACCAGAAGTGTAAACATAAGAGAACATACCATTAATCCTAAAGCATATGAGCACAAGTTACATAATAATGACTACACCGAAATCTTTCACTCACTCCCTACTCTTAAAGCTTTCAATACCTTGTAATGCCATGAATTAGAAATGGTACCCTGGTACTTTTCAGTGACTGAGTTTTGCATTTGACAGAAAAGACTGAAGTCATAAATTCATAATAATAATAATCATAATAATGTAGCATTTATCAGTCCTTTAATGTGTGTATGTTTAATGTTTAATGCTGTAATGTTTGTATGTTTAATGTTTAATGCTGTACCTTTCTTTTTAATTGACTCTGCATTATAATTAACATCCCAGACTACTCCAGCTGTACCATAAACTAGTTTACCAAGACTGACTACCTCCTGGTCACCTGACTCAACATAGGGATTTTTTCCTGGGGACCTATTTTCACCTATATAGATACAGCACTGTTGTATGACATGGGATAACAGATGTGCCCACTTGCCTAATTAAATGCTAAATCTAAAAATTCAACAGTGCCCCTGCATACAGTTCAGATCGCTCCTCTTCACAGCAAGAATAGGCATCAACTGAATTCCAAGCTTTTCCTCAACAAACTGTTGATCTGGACTGGGGGGCAACCCAACATGGGATGGTATGGTGAACAACCTGTAAACATATGAAGTTATTTATACACACAAACATTTGTTTTTAATGCCATAATATAAAAAATAACTGCATCCATGTGTTGATGTTTTCTGAGTAACCATGAAGGGATGCACAAAATAGACACAGATGTTGAGATTTAACTTAAAAATGCCTTATTTGACAATTGAGGTTAAAATGTAACATCAAAACAGAAAAGTCTAACTACAGTATATAACATTGCCAAAAAGGAGCATACCTGTTAAGGTGTCATGACAGAAAGATGTGAACTGTCAAATACATTGATTCACTCAATGGAAAAATAACAAATACATCTTCAGCCATGCATGTGCAAATGAAACTAGCAAAATATCTCTATAATCCTAACAAAAGTGGGGTCAATTGTCTGATTGTGACTATGGCATACAGTGTTCATGAATTACTACCAGTTTGTGGTGGTACCAACGGTTCACAAAAAAGGTGAGCATATATTGCCTGACCAGTGAGTGGGAACCTGCAAGTCCAATACATCTGTTCTGTGTTTGTGGCTCTGCCCAAACGTTGATATGTTCCAACTTACACCAACAATAATTTCCTTCATATCAAGCATCAGGAAGATGCCTTTACATCTGTGACCTTAACCATGGACATGACCTTTATAGATTACATATCATATTTCAGATCCCATATATATTATTTGTTATTTATCTCCTACTCTTCCCTGATATTAGGGATGGTGAGTTAAGACTTATGACAATTATTGTTCCCATTTCAATGCATAATTGGTAGTGTTGGGAATTGGTTAAAATTGATCATTGGTCCATTACAACCGATCAATCATCGAAAATAATTGGTTAGGATCATTTATCAAATGTTCCTGTTACCTTTGTTAATGCACAAAATAATTTACAAAAAAACCCATGTAGTTCTTTTGGGTTTTGGGGTAAATTGCACAAAATGCATTTTCATACTTCACATATTTAAAGGATGGCTAGTATGTGAGGAACATAAATTTCCAGGAGTCTTTAAGATAAATTCAATCATGACTTGGAACAAGCTTGTAGTGCTTATGAAATGTAAATATAATGACTCAGACAAACCAACCTTGTGAAAAAATATTGTTAATGCAAACAAGTGTTCAAAAACTGCTTGTGTTCGATTATGAGAAAACATTTTCGATTGCTTGGTCATTTAGTCACTGCGACCAATCTTCGATTATTTCAATTAATCAGACCACCACTAATAATTGGTTGACTGCTCACTTAAACTCAGAGCCTTGGTCACATTGTGGTATTCTTGGATTTCCCCATCCATACTCAAGGTAGATCCTATGTAGTTGATCCACAAAGTCAATGGTATGTTGCCCCACTGGTGTTTTCTATATCAGGTTTCAAATTTGCTTCATTAGGAAATTTGGGATAACAATTGCCTGTCACCCTGCTTATCAATAAACTCCTGTACGGATTCCTAAGAATTTTTCAGCATAATACCGGGTTTATCAATGTTCTTATATTTTCGAATTTCTCGATCCTGAACCCAACAAACGCTGTGTAAATTTGTGGATATGACATTATGAAGTCCAGACTGAGGAATCACTATTTTCCTGTCCCCATCAATAATTTCCAGTCTGTATTTTCCATGGACAGGGTTGTTGATTTCTTTCAAAGGTAAATCAAACTTGTTCATTTTCTTACAAAAATGATAAAACTTGACAATCTTACTTTTCCGGGGAATGTCACTTCCTTCAAGTTTTAATCTAAGGCAGTTGTGATGTCATTTGAAATAACACCAATGCTTCTATTTCTTGAAGGTTGTGCCTGAAATGCATCAAAATCCATCATTAGGTTCAATTGTACCTCATATGTTTGTTTCTATTTTATCTCACATTATGTGATTAATGTTAATAATGTTATATAATTTATTGAGTCATCTTACAAAAGTTATTATCAAATATATACAATACAAAAGGTACACACAAGGACCCTCTTTATTCTATCTGGAGTGTTATTCCACCAAAAAAATGAAAAGAATAAGACAGACCAAACTGAGGTAAAACATATTTTAATGTGGTTGCCTCATCAGCATTAAGATTACTCTTTAGAGTTTATTTGGGTAAACATACTGACAGTATGGTACAATGAACATATCACTGCACAATAGATTATAACATAATAAACACATATGAAACACATAAACAGTCACTGAACACTATATTAATGCACACCATTATTAACATACCATATCAAGACGTAATCGCACCCAAATAGTTCAGCTGCTGCCTATTCTTAATATGTGGCTGATTATGAATTAGGGCAAATGAGACACTAACATGACTAACAATTATCTTCAAACTAAGAAACAAAGGCTAGGTTCTGTACTTACTGTTAGGATGGATTACTTGTTGAGGTGGTAGTACATCTCAGTGATGTATTAATGGTAATCATAATAATTATAAAGCCTTTTAAAATGGAAAAGAAACATATATTATCCAAGTCCTTCAAATCCATTAAATCCTTTCTTCAATATACATAATAATTGTCAAAACATATCACATTTATACAAGTTGTACACATGAAACCATGTTATATGCAAGATTACACTTTCTCAGTAAAATACACATTCTAGACATGTTTGGGGTTCAGTCCCATCCAGGATTTGAACCGACTCTCTCCACCAAATCGCCAACATACAAAGTCAGTGATCTAGCCAACTCAGCTGTGAACATAATTATATTGTCAGACTTTCACCACACCTAGTCAAATACATCCAAAATGGCCTTTGGTCCAAAATGTGTTTTACATGCTCTAACATTGAACAGAGTAAATGACATGGCAACTAAATAATATTTCACATGTGGTAGTCTCCAAAGCAGTTTGCAAAAGAAAATTATTTAGGTGATAAACAGCTGGTGTTTCCTTTTCATATATTTTGCTGTAATCTTCAGGTTATTATAAATATGAAATATGAAATGGATACTTACATGTTGCATGAAATATCACTAAACTACTTAAGTCAATAATGCCTTGTCTTCCTATGTGATGTTTATATGTGTACTTATGACCCTTCTGCAGCTGCCCTTAAACGTACAGAGAGGTCTTAATGTTGAAAAAAATGGAGACATCTGCACTAGGCAAATCTGTGATTTATGTACTGTATGTGTACATGTGAGTGAGAGAGTGAATTTAGTTTTATGCCGCATTTAGCAATATTCCAGCAATATCACGGCAGGGGACACCAGAAATGGGCTTCATCCATGTGGGGAATCGAACCTGGGAAGCGAACACTTTAACCAGTGGGCTACCCCATGCCCTGTATATGTGTACATGTCACTTAAAAAATATGTCACTTAAAATCTTTTTTAAAAGAATTGGATGAAACTTCAATACTTTTCCCTGTCCAACATGTCTATATGGCACAAGATACAGAGAGATTTGTTACACTGAAAGACCTGTAAGAGATAAATTATGTCTATTTCATTAATGTTTTGCAAAATGTATTTCTGCATTAATAAAGAATGTTTTATAATCATACAGATACCATGGGAGTTTATTCATTTGTCACAAAAAAAGAGTGTCATGGGATAATTTCACGCAACATCATATTTCGAATGACAGAAAATCTTAAAACCTCAAAACTAGTAACTATGCAACTTCCTGTTCATTAATGGTCAGTTGTTTGCCTTCCTCTGCTGACATCATCAAATCATAGCAGAGTCTGCTACATTAATAGAATATGGTTTTGATACTCATGACCTGATGTGATTGAGATAGTTTAAAACTGTTTCAACACACACTCCTGCATTGTTTATATTGTAAACAAACAACTGTCCAGGTTTGATAAACCATTTATCAGAGGGCTAACACCAGTGTCTGATATTTAATTTATCCCCAAAGTCATTTGTGTAAGCATCTTTGATGTAGGCTGGTGATCTAAGTGGAGAGGAATCAGAAACATTGTTCAAAGTTAGAAAGCACAGAATTCAGGCCAGAAATTGGCCAGGGTCACATTAAACAGCTTTAAAGTCCTGACATATGTAAGGCTGAATAATGAATTTTGCCAGAAAGTATAAAGTAAGGGGTTGGAATATGCCTAGCAATGTGAAACACTGACCAAAGAACCCTACTGCCTGTTAAAGCCAAGAAATTGAAATTTAAACAGATGAAAGCTCTTTGAGACCACAGCATGAAACGAAATTACACATGAGTCTATCAATTCATCAAGGTAAGACTTTGAAATACTTCCATGAAATAAAAAAAATTCACTGTTTGTTGTTTTGAGAATGCTAGACTTGCCAATTTCATATATGAAAAACAAAATGAAAAAAATCCAGATAACTTATGAAGTTTATTAGTTACCCTGCCCAAAAGTGATTATTATTCATCAGAAATATCTAATGGATGAGGTTGAGAGAGTTATGGAATTTGAGATACAGCCTTCACTGGACTGGGGCACTTAAATATACTGTATGTACCTACATGTTCAAGTACCACAACTTGCTCAAGGTGGTAGAGGATATCAAGGTGAAAGGAGGGTGCACACACTGCCAACATCAGACCGACTTGTTGAAACACAACATTGGATGTGAAGGCTTCTGATTCTGCTGTATGTGCAAAGATACACCTCCCCAGTCACCATCAGTCATTCTCCAAGCTGAAAATAGTGTCAAGATCATATTAAATGTTCAATCATAAAGACCATAACAGCCATGAGACAGTTTTTGAGAAACTAAATAATTGTTTGAAAGTCATAAGAGAAAAAAAAGTTTATTCATATGCAAAAGGGTGTAACAGAAAGAATGGATCATATGCAACACTGTTTACTTAAAATAAGAGGGTTTTGTGACATATTGTGCCATCAGCAGTGAACACATTTCATACTCACAATACTCATATCATATGACTTTACACACAGACACCCAAATTGTGTCAGTGGTGACTTTATCCTAATTTGTTGTCAATTCATCGGTTTCAACAAATTTAGAAGCCAGGTAACCATTACCATGTGGGCTCTTGTCACTGTTAGACCACAAATCGAGGCTACATTCAAATCATGGCCACTAAAACAATCCATTCAACTCAAGCAGCCCTAGCTTCACTCCCTTAAATTAGTCTCTATAACAATGCCAACTTGTATCCATGGTGAAACATAAATAGGAAAGCATATACATGTAATGTATGAATTACTAAAATGTGCACTCACCTTTACATGTTGCACAAAATCAAATGTTTTAAAAAAAGGCACAGCAAAAACAACATGCATTTCATTTCCTACCACTCCCCTGGGGTGCTTGGGGCTGGATGAAGCTCTCCTGGGCAGCTGGCAGAACCTCTGTGGTGCACACTGACTGTCCGCCTTGACGTGCCGAGGAAGCGGCCCAGCTTGGCTGAAATGGGAGAGAGAGTGAATGAAGTTTTCAGTCTAGAGGGGGTTGTACATGGTCAAAGGGATCAGGTGGGGCCTCTGCACCTGCCAAAAACAGCCAAGAGGGTGCAGGGAGGGGCCAAGACATCATTGTGCATTTAAGGTTTTTCTGTGCACTTAAGGACTGCTATAGGAAACCTTAAGTGCACAGAAAAGCCTTAAATGCACAATGGACCTTTTTAAAAAAGGCACAGCAACAACAACATGCATTTCATTTCCTACCAGTCCCCTGGGGTGCTTGGGGTTGGATGAAGCTCTCCTGGGCAGCTGGCAGAACCTCTGTGGTGCACACTGACTGTCCGCCTTGACGTGCCGAGGAAGCGGCCCAGCTTGGCTGAAATGGGAGAGAGAGTGAATGAAATTTTCAGTCTAGAGGGGGTTGTACATGGTCAAAGGGATCAGGTGGGGCCTCTGCACCTGCCAAAAACAGCCAAGAGGTGCTGGGAGGGGCCAAGACATCATTGTGCATTTAAGGTTTTTCTGTGCACTTTAGGACTGCTATAGGAAACCTTAAGTGCACAGAAAAGCCTTAAATGCACAATGGACCTTTTTAAAAAAGGCACAGCAAAAGCAACATGCATTTCATTTCCTACCACTCCCCTGGGGTGCTTGGGGCTGGATGAAGCTCTCCTGGGCAGCTGGCAGAACCTCTGTGGTGCACACTGACTGTCCGCCTTGACGCGCCGAGGAAGTGGCCCAGCTTGGCTGAAATGGGAGAGAGAGTGAATGAAATTTTCAGTCTAAAGGGGGTTGTACATGGTCAAAGGGATCAAGTTCAAAGGGGTGCTGAAAATGCCATGAAAATGATTTTATATTAATTACTTTAGAGGGAAGTTAAGTTGAAAATAATTGAAAGTGATTTTAACTGCCAATCAGTAAACTCAGTAAGACTTGCCAAAGTACCAAAACACCCTGGCAGTATGGTATCTTTGGAGGGATATACTTTGCCAGACATTTAAACTGGCCTAGGTGTTGACATGGTGTTTCTTTTTTTATCCTTAATATATTTATCTGCACCTTCACACCAGAAACTAGTAATTTTACCATTTGGAGGGATTCCTCAGATACTTCAGATACACAACCCACATTCCAGAAATATTTGTTGCCATGCTAGGTTACCCTGGGATATAAATCTCAAATATTTTTTTCAAAGTTTGTAGTGCCCTGATAGCCATGGAAAGGTAGCATTACTTTGGCCTGCCTGGGTAACCTTTCCTTCCTTCACTAGACGCCCTATTAGAGCTGACCCTATTGAAATACGTGGAGATAGTTTAATTAGATCTGGCAATATGTACGTACATATGTATTTGTATAAGTATTTAGTTGGTTGACAAGAGATGTTATTGTGTTTGGTTGGAGAGTTATGAAAAGTCAGGACTGAGCAATGACAATATTGACATGTGAATGTTTCCATCGCAACGCTAGGTACCGTGGTTGTTCTCGAGGAGGCTTTCTCGCTTGAACTCCTTCACCGTGGGAAGTTGCGTCGCAAAACTTCAATACAGCACATTATATTGAATAAACGGCACGTATACTTCATGTTTACATGTACCTCATATGCATATTGTAGCTGTCACATTGTATAAGGCAATAACAGACGAAGAAGCATTGGTCAACTCCCTCTACTAGTTCCGCGAAAGATACTGTGCCGTGTGTGTGACGTAGTGACATAAGCTCCGCCCACTCATGAATATTCATGATTTCTGTGCACTAAGACCATTGTAGGTTTAAGGGCAAAACATCTGTGGCCGTATGCACATGTTGGGCGTAGCTAACGTCAGGCGTAACACACTACGTCGGGCTTAGCAGCGCCCTCCTCTTACACGTCATGCACAACGTCGGTTAAGCCTAGGCGTTACTACGCCCGGCTTAACGGATTTACGTCAAGGCGCGGTGTGCTATTTTTAGATTTTCGAACGTTTTTATACCACCGGTAAAAGGCGCGAAACAACTTCGCAGTACATCCCTTGCAGCCGTAATCATGGAAAGCCAAAGAAAACCGAGAAAATTCAACTTTACCGATGGATCCTGATGGAGAAATAACATGGACTTTCAAAATGGGCTTCACCATAAATGTCGCCATATTTGACACATTACGAAATCACGATTCCCAGCGTTATTTGGTGTATGTTTTCAAATGTTCAAATCGGATAATTACTACTCAGATGTATTGAATTTCAAAAATAGCATATTAATGATCACTGATATCAGGTTTTCATGAAATCACTAATGATAATTCTGAAAATACACTTGTAAACACGAACGCGGAAGTGCGCTTTCCGTCATATTGGATAGTGTTTACAAAATCAAGTTTCGCGGATGACGGTAATGAGACGCCAATTACATCACGTGTATATCACATTTAACTGCGACAAATGCATCACTGAATTCCCCATACATTTTAGAATCAAATTACTAATGGTCTTTGTCACCAATATCAACTGTCTTGATAAAATGAAACGAAAGATATTGAGTGTCAAAAGTCCAAACGAACGCTGTGCTCGAAAGGCTGCGATTGTAAAGAAAGACAAATTCCGATTTTATACTATGTAGCATTTTCTGAAATTTTCCGACATGCAGCCGTCTATTCATTGCTTGCAATGGCTCAATAGCTTTAGAATATGCATGGAAAGAGTATCGTAGCAAGAAATGGGAAATTAAAAAAGAAGCAATGCAGTCATTTGATATTTCATAAGAAATTGTCGAAGTGTCCGTGCAGCGTGACGCCATGACTGACGCAGAACGACAAAGGTTTTTATCAGCATTTCTGGCTTCTTCTCTTACTTACAATGAAAACGATAAAACATATAACAATACACATATAGTCAGGATCATTCTGATTACTTACATCTCATATTTATGTACAAACGATCCCTGAATCAAGGGAAGGGTCCTCGCAAAATCCTGTGTACCCTTGTCAGCGTGGCCGCCATTTTATAAGTAATCGGTCGGTGGTAGTGATGTCATACGTCAACATTGTTGTACATGTTAGACAATTTCTTTGAGGTGAAGGTCGGTTGAACAAGTGTAAACACAATCGCCCTATCCTTCCGATTACACTTTCAGTATTATGATGTATACTTTGCGTATCGTTCAGATATTTGTTCATCAAACTATTTTCAGTATATACATTTAGCCTTGTTCAATACCATATTATACCTGGATATAGGGTAGGCTTTTTATATTCTTTGAAAGTTTTTGATTGTTTGAATAATATTTACATAAGAAATTCGCACACGTAGCCATAACTGCAAAATATTTGGGTGTTGTGAAATACATGTATTATTTTTCATTTACGTTAAATTGATGCCAAACAGGTGCGCGTGTTGCTCACAATAAGATACGCAGTCAAACCGTCTAATTGTTGATATATTCAGGACACTATTTAATTGGTAAAATCATTCATTTTATGTTTGGTCTAAAGAGTGTTAAATTCAGACATAGAAGCCGAGACCTTTCATACAATTAATGGAATTTAGGTAAGATATATACTAATCAGCAAACCAATGTCGTCTTTTTCAGACGTCGCAAAATGCATATTACAAGCCATGACGTCAACTAAAATGTTGTATTATTATCAGTAATTTCAGTACATTTGAAGATATGGCTAGTACTCCGTTAATAATGATGCAAAATTAGTCAATATACATCTACACAAACAGGAGAATATGGGAATCTAAGAACTAACTTACATATCGGATAGGACCATCCAAATCGCTATTCTGCTTTCTCAAGTAGTACATTGCCATCTTTTCTTATAAATTGTGAAACTACCAACACGTATCCGCTCACATTGGGGAACTTTGTAATGGAATAGGTTGGTTCACCGTGAACACAACATAACGAAAATATAGCGTAAGTATCCACAACAACTTTTCTCCAAGTGATCTGAGTAACATTGACCTAGTGTTAAGCATAACTCAGTTATGCCCCCTTATCTTTTATACGTGTATGACCTCTCTGTCATAGAAGAAAATCCATTTTTGACACTTATTGCGAGTCATTTTTAATGTTGAGCGTCTAACGTTATGCATTAGCACATAAACCCAATTCACACACACTTATGTCGTTCAGATATCAGGCTGTATTTTCTTCGCTCACACTTTCTGTAAAGATGCCAAATTAAAAAAATCCTAGCAGAGTGCTTTTATCGGTGCACGACAAAAAGCGGAGAAATTGACAGTTTCTTAACGCCTAACAAAATTTTAGACAACATTTAGCAGTGTCTATTTCTCAAACCGCTGAGGTAGTCGCACTTATATTTATACCAACGGATATGAAGTTAAATATT